TTTTTTTGCACGCTTTGATCGGCCAATTATCAATTTTCTTTATTGATCTGATTTGCTTTGAATTTGTTTTATAAAAAGTATTGGCATATATATATATATATATTTTTTTAGTAACATCTATTTTATTGGTTTGAATAACTAAAATCAACTTTCGTTTTTCTTTAATTCAAAAAGGGCAAAGAAACCAATATAAGCTTTAGTTCACGTTTTCCGCATTTACTTGATTTTCTTTTTGTGGTTTCCTTTACCCACGTGTAATAACTTTTTATGGTTTTAAAAAAGAGGTGAATTTTGAATTCATGATTTGGCTTTACTTTCTTTATACCGAATCACGTAATTTTAAGCTCACTTTGGTTTCTTTGCGCTTATAAAAAAAAAATTTTATTTCACTTTTAAACACCTTTTTTTTTGCACATTTAATAACTTTCCGCGATTACTATCGGGTGATCCGCCGTACTAGCGATACTATTCCTAGTACCGACACGCTAGGCTAGTACTTTTATACATAAGAGAACTTATGAATATACGTATGTAAGGTTAGGGTTCGATTAAGTAAACAATATTTGCTTTTCTTGCATGTTCCCTTCTGGGGACCTTCGTTTATTATTTATTTTTTTTTAATTAGTTGATTTATATTGTTAATAATACCTGTCTAAGTATGTACATATGCTTTTGAATGGATACTTGTGTACATATATAAATAGCAATTGGATATTTGTGCGTTATTCTCAGGAAAGGAAATTTTAGTGATACGAGGGTAGTTTAATTTAAGTTGAGCTCAGGGCTTTGTATCTAAGACTGAATTGTTAATAAAGGAAGAAAAATATGAAGTTCGGATGAGAGTGTTATGATGGAAATGAAATTTATTTATTTTGGTGTGTGTGTGTTGCGCTCGCGCGCAGCAGGGGACATGGGGTAATGACGGACAATAGGACTGATTGACATAGGAGAACGGGATGACTGACCAACGGACTTATTCAGGTTAAGGGGGCGTTGTAAGGTCAGAGGAGTCAACACAACGCCCATGGTTTCGCGTCGACTGGACGCCGAAGAGGGTGGGTAGACTCCGCCTGACAGGACTGGACCTTGCGTTTTCTGCTATCTTTTTGTCATCGAGTTTTTTTAATCTTTTTTTTGCGTATTTCTTTATAAATTATTCGGCATGAACTTTATTTGTTAGTGTAGCGTAGGCAAGGCGAGTGTGCAAAGACCCACCCCAACCGATGAGCTCTGCCAGGAACTACCAGCATGCCGATGTGCCACTCGACCGTGCCTCAAACCTACTGTTACACTACAATGGCGCCCAATGGAATAGACCAGCAATCTTTCAGCTTACCGTTTTTGTACCCTTTTTCTTTTAACTAACTTTAATTTATTCTTAGTCTTTAATTTATTCTTAACTTAATCTATTCTATAATGTTCCACCTTCTTCATTTTCCTTTTTTTTTTTTGACTGTGTTATGGTATCCCAGCAACAACATCGCGTCGATCCGTCGTGAGCGGTTTGTGTTGCATTGAGGAATTGGGGGTTGTGCTTAGTCTCCGTCAAAGGCCCTTCTGCAGACTACAGTGTTTGATTAAGTGGGATTTGACAGAGGCTAACACACATTAGGGGAGACTAAGAAGTTATTTTTTTGTTTGTGCGAGGACTGCTGTTCAAGCTGCGCTACTGGCAATCCAGCATTGCTAGCGATTGAGGCTTACAGCGCGTCTTCACATGGGGTAAGGGAGTTGACTCGACTTCGGACATGGGACGTACGGACTTATTAATCCCGCTATAACCTCCTAAAAAAAAAAAAAAAAAAAAACAAACTGCGAAATATTTTACACAGAGAAGACAAATAAATAAAGTGCCCGAACTTTTAGACAAGCTAAATTTTAATACCTGAAGTTTTCAATACCTTTTTATCTTTTTTTGCTTGTTTATATTCCTAGTTAAACATTCCCTCATTTATTTATATTACTTTTATCTAATCCATGTTTTTATTGCCTGCATACAAATACAAAACATACATATTATTATTTTTTTTTTGCTATAACATTTCTGTTTATTTTGGTTTTTTTTTGAGTAAACACGCTCAGAAATAATAACTATTTTGATATAGGTTTGTAGAATTTTTGGAAATCTTCACCAGATATCCTGCATTTATCTTAATGTATTAATTTTTGATTCATTTTGGATTCTTGAATTTATTTATTTATTCTTATTTTTTTTTTTTGGTTTTGAATTTATTTATTTATTATTATTATTTTTGGTTTTACGGTTGAATATGTTATCAGTTTCTGTTCAAAGTTTGCAGTGTGAAACTTAGTTCGCTTGTTGGTACATCGCATCAATTACATTTGTTAGATTTTTGAGTGGTAATACTCTGAAATAATAATATCCTTGAAGTTTTGAATTTTTGGTGCAGATTTTCTAAGATTTATTATAAGTTTGGTTCATTTAATTTGAAATCAATTCCATTATACTTATTTATCTTTTTCTTTGGTGAGTGTACATAGGTATACTGCTCGTTTAGCTTAAATTGTGTCTGGATTAACGTTTTTTTGAAATCATCAATTTTAGACTTAGTTTTATCTTTTGTGATTTTCCGCGCCATAGGTATACATATAACATTTGAATTCACACATTATTTGATTGCTTCTTGAATTTTAGTGGCCACATTAATGTGTATTTGTTTACTTTGACGATTTGTTAGTGTGTTCAGAAGATTTCTCATCCCATATATGTTTGCTAGAAAAGGTCGCTCGGTGTTTGCGTGAGCCAAAATTGATAATAAACGTAGAAAAAAGCAAGTTCTGTTACAAAGAGGTGCGATATCTCGGCTACGTAGTCGGTGATGGGTGTATCAGAACGGATGCCAACAAGGGACTTTCCCGAACCTAAAACCCCAAAACAGCTAAGACGGTTCCTGGGCATGTCAGGTTGGTACCGTCGATTTATCCAGGATTATGCGACCATTGCAGCCCCGCTGCACGACTGCCTCTCAAAAGACAAAATTAAAAAGTTTACGATGACTGACGAGGCCAAAGTTTCCTTTGGGAGGCTCAAACAAAGTTTGATTACGGCGCCGGTACTGACTTATCCGGACTTCAACAGACGCTTCTATATCCAATGTGACGCATCGACAGACGGGGTGGGAGGGGTTTTGTTTCAATTAGACGACGACCAAAACGAACGACCAATTGCGTATGTTTCAGCTAAGCTAAACAAAGCCCAAAAGAATTACAGCATTACCGAGCTTGAATGCTACGCTGCGATCGTAAGTGTTAAGAGGTTCAGGCCATACGTCGAAGGTCTTCCATTTACCATCATCACGGACCATGCAAGCCTAAAGTGGCTCATGCACCAAAATAATGTATCTGGACGGTTGGAAAGATGGAGCCTGAAACTTCAAAGTTTTGATTTCGAGATTGAGCGCAGAAAGGGAGCTCAAAACATAGTGCTTGATACGCTATCAAGGATCAATATGGACGAACTAAAATTAATCGAGCGTTGGACGTATGCCTCGAATCTCCGATTTTTGCAGCGGAAGAATACGAAGAGCTGAAATGGACAGTGACTGAAAACAAAGACAGACTTCCTGACCTCTGTGTATCGGACGGCTACGTGTACCGGCGAACAAGGTTTGACAGGGGGGACGAGCATCAAGCGGACCAAGCCTGGAAGCTTTGGGTTCCGTCGGAGTTGCGAGAGCGGCTGGTTGAGTCTTCTCACAGCTCACCTTCCACTGTCATGGTGGCATCCACAAAACTCTGGCTCGATTACGAGAAAAGTATTACTGTCCAGGGATGGTAGCCGACGTATGCACAAATGTAAAAGAATGTGAAGTTTGTAAGTCCAACAAGACACAAAACGTGTTAAAAAAACCTCTTACGGGCAAGCAGCGCTGGACCGAACGACCTTTTCAGCGCTTGTTTATAGATTTTATGGGTCCGTTCCCTCGTACTTGTGATGGTAATGT